ATATGAACAGGCGAATTTTCAAATTTAGTCTAACCGTTCCAGATTCACGAGTTATTTCAATACCGTTTGCCATCAAATCGTTGACTTCTGCTACAAAGTCAGCCAGAAAGTCATCAAAATTAGATGGTTCTTTCAGACCTGCATAGCACCCTACAACAAACGGAGAGATTTCGAACACGTTTGGGAATGCAGCTAGGATAGGCCATAAGCATCTTCTATTTTTTGAAACGGGGAGACGATCGATATTGATGTCTAAATTTATCTCGCTCATTGTTGACACAATTGGATCACCAACCAAATTAGAAAACGTGTTTTTAATTCCAAAATGGACGTATTCACCAGGGTGAACTTTTTTAGGCAGTAAAGCACTTTGAGGAGTTTCCAACAAGGTCATACGACTTATCGTAACATCGAGACCTTCATCACGAAGTATTTCTAATAATGTTTTGATAGCTTCAACACTCAGGTTGTAACGTGACACGAAATATGCAAGTCGATATTTCAGTGGAACGTTAGATTTGAGATCTTTAAAGTTTTCTGCCTCGAATTCATCGTCTCGCTCTTTTTCATGCACGGTGTCACTGCTGCTAGGAGAAACAGAAAAAAACACTGCTTTAGTGCATTGTGGCTTTGATAGTTTGTATATAAATTAAAACATATTCTAGCACTCAGAATCATGAGGACCTAACTAATATGACAGATTTTCTTCATTGATTTTACCTTTGGGGTAAGTTGTATTTTTTTTTAAATTTTAATAATCTTTCCTTGCATTTTCCTGAACATTTTTCAATACAGTATCGTAAAAGGTTGTATTGGCTAACAAAAGCAACAGCAAATGCACCGAGAATTGTTCCAACGCAAGGAAGACCGCCCCCCCTCCTGCATCCACTTATTAGATATTTGCATCAATTTTCTGGTCTTATATGTGGATAGGAGTGGGCGTCTTATATCATGTCCAGATCCAAAATTCAGCAAATCTGTAAGTCAGTGGGTCCTTTCACTTATAAGACCAGGACTAGCTTCACTTATAAGACCTGTAGTTGGTGGATGGAAATAGGTGGGCTTCACTTTTAAAATTGATGCCAACCGATTATCGCAGTTAGGCCCCTATGATTCTGAACGCTAGATAAAATGCTGGGCAATTTCAAAGCAACGACTTCGACGAAGCAGTGGAGTAGTCAAGGACATGTAGCAAATGCGGGCAAAATGATTCTGTGTCCGTTTCCACTGCGCGGGCGCTGACGGGCTCCATTAAGAAGAAGGTTCAAGATTTCGTTCGAGCTGGAGAAATGTAACCATCTAATGCTGTAACTTTGAAGTTTTAATAAAAGTACTGCACACTTAGAAATAACTACTTTTACACGAGATGTATTCCATATTGGACGTAAATCATAGAACGTAAACAAACATTTCATGTGAAATTAAGTGTTCTCAAACCGAAACATCAGCTAGTCGAGTGATTGAATTCATTTTCACGTTTCTTTCAACTGATTCTTATGTCAAAAGGCCCGCTTACATGTGTTGATGTCAGGGAACCGAAATTTACGTGACTTTTTAGTAGTGTGTGTAAAGCATCCATTAAGGGGAAAATAACCGCCCAAAATTAAAATAATATTTTGGCACGTTTTTATTTTTCTAAACACATTGGAAAAAAATATCAAAAATCCAAGAGAATTAGTTTCTTTCTTCGATTCTTGAGAAAATTTACTTGTAAAAATAGTTTTTCTATCTCATCATGAAAAAATGTTGGACTCTCAGCAAAATCAAAATGTTGGTTTTTTGAGTCCAAATTTATGCCGTGATAAATCACAAAAAAATATTTTTGCACGTGAATTTTCTTTAAAAAATAAGAAAAAAATGTGATTTTTTTAGATTTCTGGTATCTTTTCCCAATAATTTTAGAAAAATCGAATATCAATTTTTTTTCGGAGCGGTATGCTTCCCCTTAATGGACTTTTTAATCTTATTGAATCACGAATTACAGGTCTTTTGTGCGTACCAATCAATGGCGTTTCCTTTCACCTTAAGTATACCTCGCTGGTGGACATTTAGCATAGCATGAGCCAGTGCTGGTAGTCCATAGTTGAAACAGCCAGTGGAGTACAACTTGCCCCTTGGCTACTGAGACCGGTCACAACTGGTGGCACCAATACCCATACCATATTTCAAAATTTTGATTATCATATAGATAAGCAATATGTAACAGTCATAGCAAACAATGGACAGTGGCTCAATAAATGGTACGATAGAGGAGCTTTATTAATGTATTAAGTGGGATCAGGCAATACACGGTACACACCAAAAAATTCTGAATGTTACTGGCAATGTAAACAACCATGCATGCAAACATTCATTCGACTTCCTTTTCACGTAAACTAGCAGCTTGCAAGAAATGTTGCAAACAAAAGTGGACAGTTGCATACAATATATGGAATATTGTGTGACATGTCTCATAAATTTACACGATCTGTAATCTAAACTTGCATGATATATGACGCTCCATTTATGTGCATCATAGTAACGGAAATGTACACTACTTTTTTTTAGCTGTGTACCATAAGCTTATCACTAGACAGTGCGGTTCTCACATCATCCGCCATAATTCGACGTCTTTAGGTTGGATGGGTTTTTGGATGATCTGTTAGAAACGATGGAATCATTAATAATATTTAAAGGTCCATAGATCCGGTCACCGATTAATTATCATTTAGTCTGGTAACGAAAACGGCTTCAACAAATCAGTTTTAAACAAAACTTTTTAGTTTTCGTTTTTGCAAGATCTCTTGCTCAACGTGAACTTCAAAAAACCAACAACAAGACAGCATCACGCGGTTCCGATCGGTGCTGTCGGTTTACTATTCTCTGTCTTCACATCTATCTTCTCCATCCACAACAGCGTTGAAAAAGTACACACTTAGAAATAACTAATTTTTCACGTGACGGAATCCATATTTGGTTAAAAGATGAGACGTAAACAAACATGTCATGTAATATTAAGTGCTCCGAGACTGAAAAGTTCTTTGACTATATGTTTTTAGTATTACTTCTACGTGAAGTCAACGATTTACATAGTTGAAGATGCTAATTTCAAATAACAGACTGTAGTGGTAATTTTTATACGATAGATGGAGTAGATGAAAGCATAGAGTTGATAGTTCCGTTAGAGTACGGCAGTGTGAAGATTGTATATAGATATTAGACATGCGAGCTAGGACAACTTTTAAGGAAGGTACAAATCGGGTTTTTGCCAGTGGTGGCGGGGGAGGGGACACCCTTCACCATCCCTCTCCAAAGGGGGAGTTTGGTAAAGAGAGATGAAAAAACCGATTTGTACCTTCCTTAAAAGTTGTCCTAGCTCGCTTGTCTAATATCTATATACAATCTTCACACTGCCGTACTCTAACGGAACTATCAACTCTATGCTTTCATCTACTCCATCTATCGTATAAAAATTACCACTACAGTCTGTTATTTGAAATTAGCATCTTCAACTAACTGAAAAGCTCGTTGCTCGACGAAAAGTACTTTTGATTGAGCTATATTTCGCGTCTGTTATGACTCAAAAATTTGTAGCCGGTCGATCCGTCTTAAAACGCGTTAATTAAATTTCCTAGAAAGGATTTACGGATCAGGCAAGTCGGCTTTCAAAAAGCGTCCAAAAGGGAAAACCCTATTATATCAATAAAATTATTATTTATTTTTTTTTTTATTTATATCAAAAATATGTTTGATTTATTGTATTTTGTTTTCCTTTAGCTTAAGTTTGATTTGCTTCATGTTTAGTGGAAACTAATCGGACTCCTTTTGATTTTGCTGAAGGAGAATCTGAATTAGTTTCTGGATTTAATGTTGAATATAGAAGAGGGAAATTGGCATTAATTTGTTTAAGCTGAATATTCAAGTATTTTATTTATGAGAATGTTATTTAGAGTATTTTTTAGGTAGAGATATTTATAAAATTCTCTCAGAGCACCTAAATTCACACGTTTTTTTTACAGCGAAAAGCAGGGAGTGAAATCTGGCACAAGTACACAGATCTAAAGAAAGAGGTACATCTTGTTGCTATCTACATGCCATTTAGATGTGTCACACCCTTCGGTTCCGGTAGGCAATAGGAATGCAATGAACACATTTCCATGAACTTAATTTTGGTTTTAAGCGCAAAAAACTGCTTTTGAATTTTTGAAAATTAATGGCGTTTCCTTTCTTCTTAAGTATACCTCGCTGTTGGACATCTGATGGAAGTTACTAAAGAAGACGAAGCTGCATGCATTAAGAAATAATACCTGTCACAGTGTCACACCATGATATTTTAATAATACCCTGTGTGACTTATGAATTTGTGGAAGCCTACTGAGAAGAAACATGCCAACGAATGTTGTTGCATATTCTACTTATTGAAAATTTTAAATATAAATCATCGAATTAAATCTAAACAAAATCACCATCAAATTTCCACGACAAGATGGGCTATTAACTAACCAACGAGACCTGCCCTACCCTACTAGTCGAACGCCGGAACACGAAATAAAAAAAAATCTACTTGGCATTTCGGCTCAATCACTTCCATGCTCTCAACCAAGATGGCACCACTGACGATTCGCCTCCCAACCATGCCCAACAATCAACTTCTTTCAGCCATGTTTCAAATCAAAGCCTCGCTCACGGAAACTCTCATTCATGCACAATAATTATCATCCTCTATGCTATGCTTCAACATACCAACATCGATATGCTCTCCACCAACTCACACTGCCATCGGTGAGTGCCATCCAAAATAATCAACTCAAGTCGGAATTTTCTCTCGCCGTGGTGTGCTAGTATTGTTTCACTCCATCGAACACACGCAGCCAGAGCAGGAGAGCGGAACCTACTAGAGCAGCGTGTGATTTGACCCAACGAGCCTGAACTCAGATTCGAACCGCCCCATCTCCGCCGGGTGGAAGCGTGCCTAGGCCAAAGCATACCCAAGGATATGCTAGATGTTGATTTACCTTTCGTGCGTCAAGTTGTGTGCTCGTCGTTCCCAGCTCAGACGTGTACCGTCGTTCGTTCATTCGTTAGATCTTTCGTCGTAACGTGGCTTTTTTTTTACAGTGTCTATTCTTAACGGTGTGTGTACTTTTTGGAATGGTCCTGAGCGGAGGATTGCACTAATGGTGAATGCAGCAGCAGCAGTAATAGCGCGCGCGAGTGCTTTAGAGTTCTGAAGGGAAAAAAAAACAGACGGGTGGAAAATCGCGTGTGCTTTTCGTGATCATTGCGTGACTACTGTTGGATTTCTGGTTTCGGTTCAATGAGTACTGAAGAAAACTGTGAAGTTATGTGTTTGTGATTCGATCGAAGAAATTATCCAGATATAAATTAAAATTCGTGTGTAATAAAAACAAAGCGTTACAAGAATCGCAGTGAAAGTGAAAGTAAGTGCGAGCGGAAAGTGTCTTGAAACCGTGTTTTGTGTTCAAGTCCCTAATGGATCCTGTCGAACGGCATTTACTGAAGTCAAGTGTTTCAAGTGTGTGCAAGCGAGGAGAAGAGTCGTAAATTTTTCCCACTAAAACGAAATCGTAAGTGTTGTGATCAACACACACTGTCCAGATCGTACCATGGACGTCAAGTCACTGTCGGACGTGCAGAAGCAGATCTTTCAGAACTTGGTCGAGAAGCTGATTGCGCGAAACAAATTTCCACCCAACGAGGCGGAAGATGTTCAGAAGATGCTAGAGAATGTGCGTGATGCGAAGAATTTCCACAAAATTATGGAAAAGTTGAAAGAGTGCGGCCAACTGGACCTGGATATCGAGGAAAACTTCCGGGAAGGTACGGAGTAGCGTTTGCTTGCGTTGTTTGCTTGAAATTGTGTCTTGCGATTCGGCGATTCTAATTCATGGTGTAACTCCTTTTTGTGTCGTTTGCAGAGAATGGATTTTTCCTCAAAGATACCGCGAAAAAGTTTGGACCCGGCGGCCAAACGCTCACCCCGCGGCACACCATCGACGCAATACTAGGTTTGAATCATTGTGAAAATGGAGGTAGGATACTAATGACACCTGCTGCTGCTATTTTTTCGGGTGGCTTTCTCTAGTTGGACGTTGCACTAATCTGCGTTTTGGGTGCTTGCTTTAACGTTTGAATTTTGCTTTGTTTCAAAGGAAAACTTGCTGCTAGAACTTAACAAAGGAGGTGGTTAATCATGAGACTTACGTGTAAAGGAATGGTTACCATACCATAGTGGGTTGGATAATGGAGATAAAGGTGGTTCCATATGGTTTGTCATGAACAACTGTGCACACCTATGTGTTCCGACCCAATATCAAAACTAAAAAACAAAAGTACTGCTCGCTTAATATTAAAAAACTACTGCTTCATACTGCACAATTAACAAGTTAGTTATTGATGTATCCAAATTTAAAAGTTTATTTGATATTCCAAATATTCACGATTTGTATAGATTTTCTTTTCCTTTCTGGCAAGAAGTAAAAGAATTCGATGCTATTTGTTGAAATCTTCTGACATGTACAATAGTCGAATAGTTGAACCGTCGAATAAAAAATAACTCGTTTTGAATTATTAAAGACTGTGTAGCTGTTTCAATACAATATTAAACGATACAGTCGATCCTCTACCAGTAGTATTTTCAATCAGTGGTGTAAGTGGTCACCGTAGCCAACGCATTTTCTGTAATAATCGACTGCCTTTGCTCCGACACTAGCAAATCAAGCTATCAAAGTACAGTACCAAACTAAAATGTCATATGACCGACGACGGTCACGTATTTATGAATTTTAGTTTTTTTTTTATATAATAAGAGCTGCTAATGTTGTTTTTGTGTAAATCACACATTGTCATATGATAGTTATTTGATAATGTTCTGTTTGCACGAATGCTATTCTACCGTTTGTGTTGCGTGAGAGAAACGACGGCAGAGCATGAGTGTACGAATTCAAACAGACTGTCGCGCACGACAACGGAGTGAGTGTAGTAAAAATTGGAAACCGTTTCAACCACTGTTTGCAATATTTGTAGGCCACCCTCCAGTCTATTCCACAATCCTAAAATATGAACCCATACAAAAAAGGCAAAGATTGATAAAGGTTTAGAGGTTGAGCAAATGGTTTGAAGTTTGCATGGAGATTACTACTTCTTCTACTTCTTCTTCTAAATTCCTTTACTCCGTTGATCTCTGTTTCGCATTCGACTGCCAATCACCGACGTACATCGATTGCCATCCATTGAATAGCCAGGGAGGCAGATTTCACCCCTGGGTAGATATCGCACCCAGCAGCCACATGGGCCGGGACCAACGGCTTTATTTCTCTTCAGAAAAATCCCAATTACCTTGCCTGAGATTGAACCCATACCCACTGGAGTGAGAAGCAGTCACGTTTACCACTAAACCACCAGCGCCTGCTTCAATAACTACACCGAAAAAAGTTTTCATGTAGCTTCCATTGGAATCGCAAATGATTTTCATCCATAAACAAAATTAATGGAATTTATCTGAATTTCACATAACATAACATGAGATCACATTAATTTTATATGATTTTTCATATGAATTTAATCGGCCTCATAATATTCATGTGATTTTGTGGTGAGATTTTAAGCTATGTGATCACATGAAAGCTTAGGGAAATTCACATGGTTTTCATCAATTAGATAGGTCGATCTTTGTTTCAAGTTGCCAGAATGCCGTCAAAATTAGATATTTGGTTTCCATGACAAACAAGTCTGTCGTTGCTGTGATTAAGTTGGTGTTGTTGTCAGGTATTAATTTAGCTTGTTTTGAATTTTTCCTCACATTAATATCTTTATTGAATTTCTATTAGACTGACCGTAACAAATACAGACTTGTTGATCATTTTCATATCAGCCACATACAGGAACCCCCTGGATAGCACGGAGGGTGGTGCTGTTTACCAGCCACAATTTATCGGCTCCCCTTCATCCAATTGAGCTGATTTTGTTTGTGTGGTTAGGGTCAACCATGAGCTTGCCATCTAGTGGTGTAGCCTAATTTTTACACGTCCAACAACTTTGAAAACATAATTTAGAGCCATATCTATATTCAAATCGATTCCAAAATGCATATTAGTGGAGAATTGTTGAACATGTAGATTGAGGTTAGGGTGACGCCACTGTTATCACCTACAGCTCAATTGGTTGGAAGACAGCCGAGAAATTGGGGTTGGCACACCCCACCGTGTTATTCGAGGGTTTCCTGTGTTATATTTATTCCACATTTGAGCAGCTAAAATTAAAGTAAGGGCGATATTTTATAAATTTAAAGTTTTTCCATACACACATTGAGTCATAACAGACGCGAAATTCAGCTCAATCAACCGTACTTTTCGACGAGTAACGAATTTTTCAGTCTCGGTGCACTTTATTTTACGCGAAATGATTGTTTATGTCTACTGTTTTATGTCAAAGATAGATTCCGTCACTGTAAATTTAGTTATTTCTAAGTGTGTAGCTATTCTTTATACAAACTTCAAACAATTTGCGCGACTTTTATAACTTCATCAATTTTAACCATTTTTGACGTAGGATTACGTCTTTCGGCAACATACTGGGGGTGCAATATCAAAAAACTAAAATCGACCGTGTTACGAAAAGTGGTTAGGTTTTGACCACTTATGACACTGTCAATAGCGGATGGATTTAAATTCTAAATAAGCCAAACGATTGGAAATTTTTCTACAAATCTGCTTAAATGAACAATTTATCAATTTTCAAAAGGTGACTATTGAAAATTACACAAATGTTCAATTGTTGCAATGGTGATCAAAATTATCACCGATTGCCTGCAAAAAGCGCTTTCCCTAACACAGATTTCAAAATCAAATTCCATCCGCTCTCGTCGAAAGGTCTTCTTCTCCTTCGCATTTCAAGCTTATTGCGTATCGCATATTGCGTGCTCTCAACTTAGTGTTCTAGGTGCACTTCTACCGTTATTAATTGAGAGCTTTCGAGGCCTGTACCATTGCTGCATTAGTATAATTGTGTGGCAAGTACAATCATACTCTATGCCCAGGGAAGTCGGGAAGTTTTCCAACCCGAAAAATTCCTAGACCGGACCGGGAATCGAACCCAGCCACCTCCAGCATGGTCTTGCTTTGTAGTTGTGCCTTTAAATTCCGTTATAATTGCTTATCTTTTGACAGATACGCGTATTTCGTCTACTACTTGCAGACTTCTTCAGTGCCAAGTACTCAACACCACTGAGTACTGGGCACTGACGAAGTCTGCAAGTAGCAGACGAAATACGCGTATCTGTCAAAATATAAGCAATTATAACGGAATTTAAAGGAAATAAACCAACCCACTCAAAGCTCTTCATAAAGGGATTCTGTTAAGAGGTTCGGCAAATTTAAAGGATTCTCCAATCAATGTTTGCTTTATTTATTATCTATTGAATAAACCAACAATTCCGTGCATTTTGTGCACGAAAATACGTAATTTTATCATCAGAAAACCGAGGCTTTTCCGTGATGGGAAAAAGTGTTTTCCCTAACACAGTCGCCGAATATTGATACCGAGCACGTAATCGTACGTAAGATCTACGGCCGTGTCTTGGATACAACCTCTTACTTAGTTTTTGCACATGCCCACATTTTGGAGATATGAATCAAACTTGAGTATGGCATATAAGATTGCGTTTTTTTTTTCAAAATCAAGCGCCCTAATGTTCAATTTTAAATGTATTGGTTTTTTATCATTTACAGAGCATAAGCTGTTTGTGAAAGATTTTTTTCGCCTATGATTATTTTGATTTAAAATGTTAAGACTGTCAGTCGCCATGAGTCACAGTGGTACGAAATGCCAAAATGAGGAACTTGTTTCCTAAATCCCGACCTTCCCATTGTAGTCATACAGAAAGGCTAGTAGAAGGTCACTTTTAAGTGGCTAAGTTACTATTTTCAAGTCAGTCACTAAAAAGTTTTTTTTTATACCAAAAAGTTACCTCTTAAAATGTGGTCAATAAAGAAATTTTTTCACTGAAAATCGGCGTGCAAAATCTGACCAGAATAGTTGCGAGCGGACGGTATTTTGGTATATATTTTGACCGAATTTTGCTTAACTTGTGAACTATGTGTATATTTCATCTATGTACTTTGCTCTAACCACCTATGTATGCAAACTGATTTGTGCATTTTAGAGGTGATCCGCTTAACTTATCGACTTAATTGTCCTTAGTCGGAGATAGACAGCCGAAGTCCTGAGGGGATTTTTAACAATGGGGTCGAACTCGTGCAATGGGACTCACAGTTTCCCGTGTGAAGAGTTTTCCTAAATCGGGATCATAATTATTTTGTAAATAAGCATGGAATCTTAAAAAAAAATTCGAAGTCTCTTAATTTTAAAAGCGATTTACCCAATCCTGAATCTTGACTTTATATGCCCAGAATTTGAGCAAATTTTTAATATATAAATTGCTACGTAGATTATTTCTACATTTCTAGAAGATAACTCTTCACTGAACATTTTTGGCTTTTTTGAGGATTTCCTTAGAATCATCCCAAGATTTCTTCATATTTGATTTCCCCTTGATTCCTCTGAATAATGTTAGCATTCCATTGATTTTTTTTATCTAAGAGTCTTCAAAATTTTAAGTACACCACTTTTGAAATCCCCTCCTGGTTCTTAGAATTCAATCAACAATTATCTTAGTAGTCCTAATAATTCTCGCGAGGTTTTCCTTGACAGAAATTTATCTTTCGAATATAGCTAAGAATGTATTTGGAGTTCAGTTCGGATTTGTCTTAGAACTTCTCTTGCAATTTTACTTAGCATTCATTCTCAAATCACCTTCCTGGAATGCCATTTAAATTCCGTATACATTCTTTTAAAAATGTATCAATATATCTCACTGAAATGTTTTGCATAATATCTTCCCAATTCCAAAATCTTATACTGCATCTTATCAAATACTGCATTATTTAGAGTAAAAAGTTGTTTTTTTCCCTTGATTTGTTTTCCGTTTATGTTGTTTTCCGAACTGAGTACTCGCTATCGCCACCAGGGGGCA